CTGCGGCCAGGGGGAGGGGCACAAGCACAGAGGCAATGCGGGGCAGGCAGAGACGCCCTAGCACGCTGGGCAGGGACGCTAAAAGGCTGTGCTGGCCCTGGGTGCACATCGGATCAGCGCGGCCATGAGCCCAGGCAGGCCTGAGAGCGCCGGAGGGGGGGGGCCAGGTGGGCAGGGCAGGGCAGGGCAGAGCTGCTCTGCTGCAACCAGGGGGAGGGGCACAAGCACAGAGGCAATGCGGGGCAGGCAGAGACGCCCTAGCACGCTGGGCAGGGACGCTAAAAGGCTGTGCTGGCCCTGGGTGCACATCGGATCAGCGCGGCCATGAGCCCAGGCAGGCCTGAGAGCGCCGGAGGGGGGGGGCCAGGTGGGCAGGGCAGGGCAGGGCAGAGCTGCTCTGCTGCAAACACACAGCCTTCCCTTCCGACAGGCAGCAGCCGCAGCGGGGGTGGCAGGAGCAGCTCGCCGGGCCCCTGGGAGCCCCGCCAGCCCCTGCCGTCCCGTCTGGGAGCCGGGCGGACACTGCTCAGTGCACCTGCCGTCGTGCCCACGAGAGGCTGCCTTGGCCAGCAGCGCCTGCCTGCCCTGCTCTGGCCGGGGGCACAGCTCAGCAGAGCCCCAGCATGGTCTCTGGATCCCCCACAATTTCGCTGTGCACCATTTTAAAGGTGTCAATGAACAGGTCCATCCACTCCTGCCGCTCCTGCCCGCTGGCAAACTTGGCTTTCTCGGCGGTATAGGCCAAGGTGGCCACCAGCTGGACATAGCTGCTGGGGTCCTGGGCTTCCCGCCTGGTGTTTAGGAACTGGGCGATTGTCTCTTTGGTGTCGGGGAAATGTATCTTGACCGCCTCTTCCATGAGGAGGGAGAAAAGTGGGTTTGGGTTCCCCGGGTTCCTGTCATCTGCAAGGGAGCGTCAAAAGAACATTTTCAGGGCCACGTCCCCGAGCGCCACTCAGCTCTCCACGAGCCCTTGCCACGGGCAGGCAGCCAAGGGCCAAAGCTGGGACGCTCCGTTGCAGCCCGAGCTCCCGGCCGGACCTGAGCCGGGGTGGGGGGGAGCCGCTGGGCGCCAGCCCGACACCGCA